TTTTTGTTCTTTTCTTCTCTTGATAATTGTTGAGACTGCCTATGCAATGCATTTTTTTTATTTCATTTTTTGGGATTTTCCAGGCTGAATATTTCCGTCATTTGCTGAAGCCCCGTTACGTAGATTAGTTTTGAAGGGTTTATAATACACTTAATCAAATTAAGAATTATAAACAAATTATTAGTCCCCATGATACAAATATGTTCATGTAAAAATTAAGAAAACTCACAGAGATTTCACACACACAAAATCCTCCAAAAGTTCACATGCGATGTCTCAATTCTGTCTCAACAAGTGGGAGAACTTTCTGCCCAAAATCAATGCCCTGCTCCAGGATGCACAACAAAGCCACACCACCAGTCATGACCTCAAACTCTGGCTCTCCGATTTAACAGACCTTGCTTACGATACTGAAGACGTCATTGATGAAATTAACACTGAGGTCCAGCACTGGAGAATACTAGGACACACCCAATTTGGCACCACCAACAAGGTACGCTTGTTCTTTCCCCCATGTTGTGCTGGTTTCAATTCAAGTGTTATTAAGTTTAGTGGGCGGCTGGGGCCAAAGATAGAAGCTATCACTGCTAGATTTCAACAGATTCTTGAGCAAAGGAATATTTTTGAATTTGGTGGATAGAGGTGGCCAAGGGAGATTGGACACAAAAAAGGAAAGGCTGCGCTCTACTTCTTCTCTTGTGGATGAATCTTGGGTTAGTGTCTCTACGGAATTTGATGTTATTAGAGTGACTAGGATTTTGCTGCAGGGTGTTACTTCCGAGAGTCTCAATTTCAAGGACTTTGATTTGCTTCAAGTGAAACTAAAGGAGATGCTTTCTGGAAAGAAGTTTTTGATTGTTTTGGATGATGTTTGGAATGAGGACTATGAGGAATGGGATGTTCTGCGCACACCCTTCTTGGCAGGAGCTCCTGGGAGTAAAGTACTGGTAACCACTTGAAATGAAAGGGTTGCATCCATCATGACCACATATCCGGTATACCATTTGCCAGTGTTGTCTAACGATGCTTGCTTTTTGTTGTTTGTCACACAAGCCCTTGGTGCTAGTAATTTTGATGGACACCCAAATCTAAAAGGAATTGGCGAACAAATAGTGTGCAAGTGCAAAGGCTTACCATTGGCAATCAAAACTTTGGGTGGGCTTCTGTGTGGTAGAGTAAATTCTGAAGAGTGGGAAGATTTGTTGAGGAGCGAGATGTGGGACATACCAGAAGAAAGGAGTGGCATCCTCCCTGCTCTGATGTTGAGCTACCATTATCTTCCTTCTCATTTGAAATGATGCTTTGCCTATTATGCTATATTTCCAAAGGACTATGAATTTGACAAGAATGACTTGGTTCTACTGTGGATGGCTGAGGGGTTAATAAAACAAGCAAAGGGACAAGACATAGATCTTACATATTTTCATGGTTTGGTTTCAATGTCTTTTTTTCCAACACTCAAATAGCAACAAAACACTATTTGTTATGCATGACCTTATAAATGATCTAGCTCATTCTGTTGCTAGAGAAATATGCTCTCATTTTGGGGATACATTTGAAGACAAGCCACATGAATTTATTACAAAGCTTCGCCATTTGTCATTCACTTGCCACCAATATGAGATTTCCAAAAGATTTGAAGCATTAGACCGTATGCAGTCTTTACGAACTTTCATAGCGTTATCAATGGATGCATCATCTCTGGCAGCAGGCTATTACATAGGTAAAAATGTGTTACAGGAGTTGCTGGCAAAATTAGGATGCTTAAGGGTGCTATCTTTGAGTGGATACTGCATAGACGACATACCATATTCTATTGGTCATCTGAAGCATTTGAGGTACCTTAATTTGTCTCACAGTACAATTAAACAGTTACCAGAATCTGTGGGCAACCTGTTTAACTTACAAACACTTTTATTGCGAGGCTGCAAGGAGCTTACTAAGCTGCCACAAGGTATTGAAATGTAATTAACCTTCTTGTCCTTGATCTTACTGATACTGCGAAATTAGTGGAGATGCCATTGCAAATAGGCAAGTTGATAAAGCTTCAGGTTTTGTCCAAATTCTGTGTTGGAAAGGACAATCGGTTTGGCATTAGAGAATTGAAGGACTTGAAACATTTAAAAGGGGAGCTTTCTATCACTGGATTGGAAAATGTGGTAAATGTTTGGGATGCTAGGGATGCTAATCTAATGGACAAGCATGGTATTGATGGCTTATATTTGAAATGGAGTAGTGAGTTCCTTGATCATCAAAATGAAGAAGGTGAAATGCTTGTTCTTGACATGCCAAAACCTAATAAGGATCTGAAAGAACTTACAATTTCATTTTATGGCAGCGAAAGGTTTCCATCTTGGTTAGGAGATCCCTCATTCACTAATATTGTGCACATGAACTTAATAACTGCAGTAAAAGCATGTCACTTCCAGCACTTGGGAGGCTGCTATTATTGAAGAAGCTGTCCATCTAAGGCATGAATAGAGTCAAGAAGGTGGGTCTTGAGTTTTATGGTGATCGTTTGCCTTATACTAAGAGGTTTCCGTTCTTGAAAATTTTGTGGTTTCAGAATATGTTAGAATGGGAACATTGGTCTTCTACTCATAAAGGTGATGAAGATTTAGATGATGAATTTCCTTCTCTTCGTGGGCTCATGCTACAAAATTGTCCAAGGCTGACTGGGGACTTACCAAGACACCTTCCTTCCCTTGTGAAGCTTATCATTAGTCGTTGCCCAAAGTTGGAGGGTTCACTTGTGAGCCTCCCTTCCCTTTGTGAATTAAATATTGAAGACTGCAGCAAGGAGCAACTGAAAAATATTGTTCACCTTACTTCCTTAACAACACTGAGAATCCAAAGTATTAGGGACCTTGCATGTCTGCCGCAAGAGATGCTAGAGTCTCTAGGTGCACTTCAAACCCTTGATGTCTCCAATTGCGCCAAACCGACGTTTTTGTGGCAGAAGGGTACTGGACTGAGAAACATCGTTTCTCTTAAGCATCTAAAAATAAAGGGCTGCTCCAAGTTTGTATCTCTAATAGAAAATGAACAAGGTCTTTCTGGTAGTTTGGATGATATTGAGTTGATCAACTATGGTGACTATGGGAAACTGACTCTCAAAAGTTTGCATATTGAATCATGCCCAAAACTTGTATCATTTCCTGAGACAGGTTGCTTGTCCACGCTTAGACATCTTAAGCTGAAAGATTGTGTAACTCTTAAGAACCTGCCTGATTGGAAGATGATGCTTAATTACAAGACTAGTGATTGTCTTCTTGAAGACTTGGAGATTGAAGAATGTCCTTCCCTAACATGCCTTCCAGGAGGCAATATGCTTACCAGGTTGCAAAGGTTGAAAATCCGAGGTTGTACAAATTTGCAATCTCTACTTGAGGGAATCATGCAGAAAAATACCAACACACACATGTGGGATCTTAAGAGCTTGGAGATTGATAATTGTCCTTCTCTAATGTGCTTTCCTGAAGGCATATTACCATTTAGTCTTAAAATGCTGAAAATTTGTGATTGCTCAAAGCTGGAACCACTTCCAGAGCAGCTGCTGCACAACAATGCATCACTTGAATACCTCCATATGCGGAACAATACAACTCTCAGAAGTTTGCCAGAATGCCTATATAGCCTCACACATCTGACTGAGTTAACTATAAGTAATTGTCCAGCTTTAATCTCCTTCCAAAGGCAGGTCTCTCACCCACTTTGAAAACCTTAGAAATCTACAGTTGTGCCAATCTCAAATCTCTACCTGAGAGGGTGCAAAATCTTGCCTCTCTTCAATATCTAACAGTTTGTGACTGTCCATGTCTTGTGTTGTTTCCCAAAGGGGGTTTGTCCCCTCAACTATTGATACTGGAGGTCTGGGATTGCATGAATTTGAAGGAGCCAATGTCAGAGTGGAACCTACACTGACTAGCCTCTCTTAAAGAGCTCATCATTGTTGGTGCACTGGATACTCCTTCCCAGATGAAAAGTGTCTGCTTGCTACAACTCTCACTTCTATGGTCATTTCTAGACTCAAACGGTCTGGTATCTCTATCCACATAACTGCAAAACCTGAGCTCTCTTGAAGACCTAGAAGTCAGTGATTGTCCAAAGCTTTGAGAGTTGCCAAGGGAAGGAGTGCCTGCAAAACTTGGAAAACTTTGTATCAGAAACTGTCAACTTCTACAACAACGCTTAAAGAAGAAAAGAGCATATTGGCCGTTGATAGCCCACAATCCTTGTATAGAAATAGATGGTATCTCTTCTTGTTTTCAGTTATGTTTGGATAAACTTTTGGACTACCTTTTTATCAGCCTCTTGTTCGACTACTTAATCGTTGTTGTAATGGCGGTAAGCAACATTCAATTCACTTCCCCATTCCAAATGAGCAATTACAGAAGGATAAGCCACTTTAAAGAGCAAATCTTCTAATAAGAACAAGTCAATGCAGGGGGCAAGAGGCAGAAGGAGCCCCTCCAAGTTCCAAGCCCGTTGAGGAAGTTCGAGAGCTCGAGCCTAATGCCATGACCAAAGGTAAATTCTCTGACATGGATACCTTGATTGAAGCCGCTATATATATATATATATTCATCGATTATCCAATTTATTTTTTTCTGATAAAAGTCTAACTAAACTACCATTCCTTTCCTTGGGGAAAATATGACTGCGAGGAAGGAGTATCATTCTCACTTTTGCTTTCCAGTTTGTATTACACTGGAAAATGGAAAATTTAGCACTGTGTATTGCCGATGTAATGTTCTTCAATCTCTTCAATTTTATTTCTGATCAATTGTCCTCTTCAGAGTAATTTCTTAACTTTGCCCGGAAGGAGCAGTTTTTGTCCTAACTTAAGATATGGGAAAAATCTTTTGTCCAAAATCAACGCCCTGCTCCATGATGCACAACAAAACCACCGCGCCAGTCGTACCCAGAAGACATTGCTTACGATGCTGAAGACATCATCGATCGATGAAATTAATACAGAGGCCTTGCACCAAAGAATACTAGGACACAATCAATTTGGCACCACCAGTAAGGTACGCTTTTTATTTTTTTATCTAAAAAAAATATTAAAGAAAATCTCCTTAACTTTCCTCATGGTGCAATCCTCCAAACTTGACTACACTTTTATTTTTTCTGTTTAAAACAATTCCCTGCAATACCGCATTATTGTTTTGTTACTGTTCACATTACACTGAGGTCGTACGTGGACCTCACTAGGACTATAGATGAATTGAGCGTGCTTTGCTTTTCTGGTAGCATCGCATCCGATGCGGGATCTTGTGGAGTCACCTCCACTCAAAGAAAAGTTGCGAGCCTACAGCGGATCCAAAGCATTGGTTCTGTCTTTAGTAGAAATAAAATAAAATAAAACTCGACAACAATAGCCCCCCACGCCATGATGTGGGCCCTAAGTTCACTAAACTGTCAGAGTCCATTATCAGGATGGATAAACTGGGTGGGCGCACTACACAGCAGCCCATTATTGCTCCAAAGCAAAGTCCAAATCGCGTCAGAATTCAATGCTGGAAGGCCGGCAGAAAAACACGTGAAGGGTTTTTTCTTGTTTTTAATAATATGCTGGATTGCAGCACCGTTGTCTTTGGATTTCCTCCTCCGATTTGGGTTAGGGTTTGTTTCTCCTCTCAGCTTTCTCTGTAAGATTTGGACTTCTTCGATTCACTAAGACCTTATTCTTCCTTTCCATTTTCTGTTCTGTTGCTTCAAAATCAATTTTATTCTATTCAATTTAGTTCTCTGTGGTTCTTCCTCTTAGTGTTATGATTCTTGTATGTTTTGGTAATTGTAGCTTTTTTTTCTTTCTTCTTAAATTTGATGCGCAATTTGTTCATTTGCATGGCGAATTTGAGGAAAATTCGGTTCTACAGTCCGACAGACAGATCTAATGTTCTAAATGTGATTTCAAACATTAGATTTCTGATTTACCTTTTTTTTCCTTTCAAAGTAAACCATAATCTGAATTCAATTCAGAAGAGAAGTCTCTGATGTGAAAGGAATCTGTTTCAGGGTTGGTGAACAAGGAGATACAACTTACAAGAAAGGGAAACTGTGGCGATTTTCGGCGGTAAGAAACAGCATGCAGTGGTGGTTGAGTCTTTCTGTTGATGTGTTTCGAAAAGTTATCTCCTTGAACCTTTATTGCAAAGTGATTCTGTAATTTCCCAGTCTAAGTTGTCTAGCTAGACCTTTCAATTCTCTTTGTTTCGTTTCTCCTCTTTGTTTTTCCATGGGATCCACTTTCTTTATTGTCGTTTCATGTTATGTCCACCAGATTAGCTGAACATTAGGAAATCGATCTACCAAATTTTTCAATCCAAGTCACCTGGTTACCCGTTTTGCTCATTGTTTTGGTGATAAAGCTTTTTTTTTTTTTTTTTGTTCTTGTTGCTGCTGCTCATTCGTGTCTTGAATTGGGTAGTACAGGTTGCGGGCGTTGAATTTGTTGTTCTCTGGAAGATCCTGTTCTTTTCTTATGCCATATTGAAGGGTTGGGACGCAGTTATGGTGTGCCAAGCAGCATGTAGGACAAGATTCCGGGCATTGAAGCACGAAAATGGAATTGCAAGGAGTGCCAACATTGTAGTCCAAGTCATAGCATGCTTTCAACCCCTTCAGGATTGTCAGGTATGTTATATTCCATTTTATACTCTTTGAATAAGTCTTTTATTGAAGAATTAGATGCCATGTTTTGTGGTGTTTGTATTCTAAAGGTTTCCCTCCTATCTTTTACATGGAGATTTTTTGTTCTTTTCTTCTCTTGATAATTGTTGAGACTGCCTATGCAATGCATTTTTTTTATTTCATTTTTTGGGATTTTCCAGGCTGAATATTTCTGTCATTTGCTGAAGCCCCGTTACGTAGATTAGTTTTGAAGGGTTAATAATACACTTAATCAAATTAAGAATTATAAACAAATTATTAGTCCCCATAATACAAATATGTTCATGTAAAAATTAAGAAAACTCACAGAAATTTCACACGTAAAATCTTCCAAAAGTTCACAAGCGATGCCTCAATTCTATCTCCTAAAGAAGTGATGGCTTCTTCTCCCACTAGCTTCTGTTTTTCTTGTAAAAACTTAAATACCATATTGACAAATCAATAGGTCTTATATATAGGGAGCTTGTATAGTTAGACTAGAATTGCAAATAGCATGTTGCGTGGGACTCCTTTTGAAATCTTAATCTCTTAGCAAATTGAATTTAAATCAATTTAGAATTGTAATAAAAACCCATCAGTAGATAATAATCTTATCCAAGAAATTACAGATAAAATTGTGAGATCCCTCAAACCATAATATTTACATAATAGTCATACACCAACTAAAATTCCATACAAAGTCTAATCGAATTAGAATTCTTTATAAAACTGTCATCCAACCTTTATATGTGTGTCTCTTAAATATATTTAGACAATAAAACAATTTAGAAAATAAAATTTTTGATAAAATTTAATTTTCTAAAACTAAGTTAAAAATATT